ATACACATACATATATACATTGTCTGTCTATATACATTATGTATGTATGTGAAAATGTGAACATATAGATGAGTTTGCAGAGCATGATAAAGGACAGAAAGAAATTATCGATAACATGAAACAAACAGAATCGTGAAAATAAGTTTTATTTTTTAGTAAATAATCTCTGATGCTTTAGCAGACGATCAACAAATAAATACATTTCATAGAAAAATTATATGTCTATCCTTGGTAAGGTCGCTGGCAGCAGTAGTACTTGTTGGTATAACTGCTCTTGCACCAGTACTTGCACGTGTTGTATCCGAGCACGGGTCTTTGGTCGTAGAAGCTGTGACCAGGCACAAGACCAGGGTAATGAGCGGTGTTGAAGGATCCGGCGCCGTGGATGCCAGAGCCTACGAGTCCTACGCCATGAACACTACCTCCGTGGACACCCCCGAGGACACCGCTGTGAACACCACCAAGAACACCTCCATGGACGCCTCCGTGGACACCGCCAAGCAGCCCACTGCCGTGAACAACAGGTCGGTGCCCGCCAATGCCATACGTGCTGTGTCCAGCAACTGCTGCTATGAGGCACAGAGCCACGAGGAGGGAGGTCACTGCCACGTTACGAACCATGCTGAAGAGAAAAATTAATGTTAATTTTAGATTATATATAATTTGGTCTGAAAAGATTTATAACCATACCATCGCACCTACTCTGATTTGACATTTGATAAATGAATGCACACATTAGAGAAGTGACTTACTTGAACTTCAGCTGGAAGCTACACTCTGAACATTCATTCACGGTGCTTCCTTATATACGTTGTCGCATCGCCTGCCCGCTCTCGCCCAGGGAACTCCAGGCGAGAGCGAGTTGTTGCCAACGTTCATTTTTTTTCATTAAAATGAACGTATTTCGTAAGTTATCGTTCATATCGAAAAAAAATATTAGCATGTTCCAATTTGAAAAAGAAGCGCTTTTGTAAGCATTTTAATTTCCATCGTTGTATAAAAAACAATTGACTGTGGGAAGAATTGGCAACCTTTGATGACGTCAACAAGGATTCCAGGTGAGTAGCTTGGTCTGGAAAAGCCAGGCCGCTTATCAGATTTCCCCACGCACTTTTCATCTCTGATTGAGCCATAAACATTACATTATTTAGCTGGATAGATACATAACAATAGATAGATGAAGATATATACAGACAGATAGATAGACAGAGTAATAGGTAGATAGATAGAGGGACAGATGGAGAGAAATTTAAAGTTCCCTGTTAACAATGCCCGGGAAATCTATAGCATCAAAATCTTAGGTAGAAGACATTCTATAGCACTGCGTTAGGTGCCACTTTAGACAAATATTTATCACCAGAGAGGGTGGGGGCTGAAGTACTGGAGAAATAAAGCAATGAAGTCACCTATATTACATACATTATTTTGTTCATGTAACACTGATGGATCTACTTTGGTTGATATATAAAATTATTATGAGTACTTGGGTACTTCTACGCAGATAAAACCTTTGGGAGTACAATAGATACAATTTACAAGCTCTTCGAGCTTTTACACAATAAAAAAAGAAAAAAAAAATCCTGTTAAAAAGACAACCATGAACACAAACATACATTAATAGAAACCTTTATGTTTATTAAAAGTTCATGTATTCGTAATTATTCTGTCGTGAATCCAGATGGTTTAGCCTTACTCAGAGCAGCGTCTGAGGGGAAGTCTTATTACGAAGATATTACGAAGGCAACATTCAGGCCTTATAGTATAATCACGTGGAAAGGAACTGAAATTAGCGCTGAGATTTAACTAAAATCCTTGCTGCCGTATTCATAACTGGTCTCTTAAGCTTTATCTACTTCATGTGGTGAATTTTAATACGTGTTCTTAATCAGAGAATTGAAATTTCAGTTTATGATAACATTCTAAAGATATGTTAATCTCTCGATTATGGTTACGTGAATATCAGACAGGCTATAGTTAAAATGGGTAATGTTTATTGTCTGTCTTAGACAATGAAGGAAAAACTGCAGGATTTTTTTTCGGAATTTTATTTTTATTATAGACATTTAGTTGATGGATGTTTTAGTGGTAAGACGAGGCAATAGAACGACCTTATCAATGAGAAATAAATGATTTTTTTCTGAGTCTAATTTTGTTCTCCTAAGGGTAAATTCATTCTTTCCTTTTATCTTTGTAACTCTTCTGATATAGTCTGCGGAATTTCAAAATCCCTTCTTCCTATTTATTACATAAACATAATTCGGTACAGAGTATAAAGTGGTCACATGAATATTTCAAGATATAAAGTCATATTGCGCATTCGTGTGAGTGTTTATGCATACACATACACATATACATTATCTGTCTATATATATCATGTATGAATGTGAAAATGTGAACATATAGATGAGTTTGCAGAGCATGATAAAGGACAGAAGGAAATGATCAATAACATGAAACAAACAGAATCGTGAAAATAATTTTTATTTTTGAGTAAATAATTTCTGATGCTTTAGCAGGCGATCAACAAATAAATACATTTTATAGAAAAAATATATGTCTATCCTTGGTAAGGTCGCTGGCAGCAGTAGTACTTGTTGGTATAATTACTCTTGCACCAGTACTTGCACGTGTTGTATCCGAGCACGGGTCTTTGGTCGTAGAAGCTGTAACCAGGCACAATACCAGGGTAATGAGCGGTGTTAAAGGATCCGGCGCCGTGGATGCCAGAGCCTATGAGTCCTACGCCATGAACACTACCTCCGTGGACACCTCCGAGACCACCGCTGTGAACACCACCAAGAACACCTCCGTGGATACCTCCGTGGACACCGCCAAGCAGCCCACTGCCGTGGACAACAGGTCTGTGACCACCAATGCCATACGTGCTGTGTCCAGCAACTGCTGCCACGAGACACAGAGCCACGAGGAGGGAGGTTACTGCCACATTACGAGCCATTCTGAGAGAGAAGAAAATTGTTACTTTTATATTGAAAAGGTCTAGATGTTTCCTATATGTCTAGATAATACGTGATACAGAAATCGATATGACCTGATATATCAATGGAATAGATAGTGACTTACGTTCACTTCAATTGCTAGCTGCACTCTGAGCATTCGTTGAGAGCACGTCCTTATATACGGACTCTCACCTGCTGCAAATCTTGTCCAGGGAACTCCAGGCGGGAGGGAGGTGTTGCCAGCGTTCATATTTTTCTCATTTATTACCTTTTCATTGGCAATACTAGTTTCTTCTTTAAGTAAAAGACATTTCTTTCAATCTTTGCAAGTAGGTATTTCCGTTTGATAGTCTGTTAGACTCCATGTTATTCGTCACTAAAATTGATTACTGCAATACTAAGTGGTCTCAACTGACGTCATCAAAGCTTCTGAGAAACCAATCTGGAAAAATTCTGCCGGGCGAATATTTCCTTAATTCTAGTATGTTGATTACTGGTTAATCCATATATCGAAATCACACAGTGCATTATCTATATACCTAATTTTTTCTATTTTGCATTTGTGGGGATGAGGGATTCGGGGGCCAGATTCGAAATAGTCCAGTCAAAGATGAAAAGTTGATTTCAGTAACCACCAATAATGTATATACATATGTACATACATATATATGTATATATATGTACATATGCACATGCATACATACATATATATATATATGTACACATATGCGGAGAGAGTCCAGTTAAAGATGAAAAGTTGATTTCAGTAAGCACCAATAATGTATATATATATACACATACATATATATGTATATACATGTATATATATGTACATACGCACATACATACATACATACACACACACATATGTATATATATATACATACATACACACATATACAGGGAGAGTGAGATATATAGATAGATAAAGAGAGACAAAGAGAGGGAGAGATAAAGAAAGAGATAGCGTTTGGGAGAGTTGAGACTGGAGTTGCCTGGAAAATGTTTCTCGTTTTGGTACATCAGCCAGATGCTCAATGGAAATGAAAGACAGGAGGGAGATGGACGCGGCTGGAAAAGACTGTTTCCTTTTACTGTATCTTGTAAAGTAGACTATGATTTATAGTTTAATTCCAGATCATCTCTAATTTTTTCAACTTTCTTATGTCAACTAAACGGCTGATGCACACACAAAATATATATATATAGTTATGCATATATGCTTATATATACAAACATAATGTATAGTATAATATATATACATATATATACATATACATGTGTGTGTGTCTGTGTACGTGTATAGGGATAAAATCCTGAAGTATGTATTTATTGATTTACTAATATAGATTTGCCATCTGAAATGGATAACTCAGTGCATATTTACACTATGAGGATATTAACGTACATATGTAAGTTTAGCTATACGAACCTAGAATTAAGTACGAAAATATTACAAACCATGTTGGGAACATAACGTGCCCATTGCTTTAGCTTTGACGTGATGGGAATTAGTAACAGTCTATTTCATTTTGTCAGTTCCAATTTTGTATAGTGTCTGGAGTTACGAATCCGATATTTCGTAAGCCTCGCAGTCCGGTAAGGGTACGTTGATGGCATGTCTGGCAATATTGGTAGTTTAATTATCAACGTTGATTTGATAACTTACAAAATGAGCAAGATATAATCATTTATGTATATATTCACACACACACATGTAAAAAGTAAGTATTCATTTTTTGAGATATTTTTTGTCTTAACATTCGTGTGATGAATACCTGGATATAATAATTGAACGTTCCATGCTTCGGTGATTATGTATATATCCGATGTACATATATATGCAAACATAAATATATCTGCATATGTACATATTATGTACGTATATATATACACATACGTGTATAAATGTATGCGGTATATTTATGCATGTATTTACATATATATCCACTTGTATTATTATGTGTGTATGTGATTTTCAAAACGTTAATGTATGGAAGAGTTTGCAGACTGGTGGAAAAAACTGGAATATGAAAGATGATATCATACAAAAATAAGCTTTATTTTAGAGCAAACAAATAGTTTTATAGTACTATAGAAGACGATTAACACAAAAACAAAAGAAAAAAAATATATCAGTGAAGAATTCTATCCTTGGTAAGGTCGTTGGCAGCAGTAGTACTTGTTGGTATAGTTACTCTTGCACCAGTACTTGCACGTGTTGTATCCGAGCACGGGTCTTTGGTCGTAGAAGCTGTAACCAGGCACAAGACCAGGGTAATGAGCGGTGTTGAAGGATCCGGCGCCGTGGATGCCAGAGCCTACAAGTCCTACGCCATGAACACTACCTCCGTGGACACCCCCGAGGACACCGCTGTGAACACCACCAAGGGCACCGCTGTGAACTCCACCAAGAACACCTCCGTGGACGCCTCCGTGGACACCGCCGAGCAGCCCACTGGCGTGGACAACAGGTCGGTGCCCGCCAATGCCATACGTGCTGTGTCCAGCAACTGCTGCAATGAGGCACAGAGCCACGAGGAGGGAGGTCACTGCCACGTTACGAGCCATGCTGAAGAGAAAAATTAATGTTAATTTTAGATTATATATGATTTGGTCTGAAAAGATTTATAACCATACCATCGCACCTACTCTGATTTGACATTTGATAAATGAATGCACATATTAGAGAAGTGACTTACTTGAACTTCAGCTGGAAGCTGCACTCTGAACATTCATTCACGGTGCCTCCTTATATACGTTGTCGCATCGCCTGCCCGCTCTCGCCCAGGGAACTCCCGGCGAGAGCGAGTTGTTGCCAACGTTCATTTTTTTTCATTAAAATGAACGTATTTTGTAAGTTATCGTTCATATCGAAAAAATCATTAGCATGTTCCAATTTGAAAAAGAAGCGTTTTTGTAAGCATTTTAATTTCCATCGTTATATAATAAACAATTGACTGTGGGAAGAATTGGCAACCTTTGATGACGTCAACAAGGATTCCAGGTGAGTAGCTTGGTCTGGAAAAGCCCGGCCGCTTATCAGATTTTCCCACGCACTTTTCATCTCTGATTGAGCCATACACATTACATTATTTAGCTGGATAGATACATAACAGAATAGATAGATGAAGATAGATACATAACAATAGATAGATGAAGATAGATACAGACAGATAGATAGACAGAGTAATAGGTTGATAGAGGGACAGATGGAGAGAAATTTAAAGTTACCCGTTAACAATGCCCGGGAAACCCATAGCACCAAAATCTTAAGTAGAAGACATTCTATAGCACTGCGTTAGGTGCCACTTTAGACAAATATTTATCACCAGAGAGGGTGGGGGCTGAAGTACTGGAGAAATAAAGCAATGAAGTCACCTATATTACATACATTATTTTGTTCATGTAACACTGATGGATCTACTTTGGTTGATATATAAAATTATTATGAGTACTTGGTTACTTCTACGCAGATAATACCTTTGGGAGTACAATAAATACAATTTACAAGCTCTTCGAGCTTTTACACAATAAAAAAAAGAAAACAAATCCTGTTAAAAAGACAACCATGAACACAAACATACATTAACAGAAACCTTTATGTTTATTAAAAGTTCATGTATTCGTAACTACTATTCTGAGTCGTGAATCCAGATGGTTTAGCCCTACTCAGAGCAGCGTCTGAGGGGAAGTCTTATTACGAAGATATTACGAATGATATTACGAAGGCAACATTCAGGCCTTACAGTATAATCACGTGGAAAGGAACTGAAATTAGCGCTGAGATTTAACTAAAATCCTTGCTGCCGTATTCATAACTGGTCTCTTAAGCTTCATCTACTTCATGTGGTGAATTTTAATACGTGTTCTTAATCAGAGAATTGAAATTTCAATTTATGATAACATTCTAAAGATATGTTAATCTCTCGATTATGGTTACGTGAATATCAGAAAGGCTATAGTTAAAATGGGTAATGTTTATTGTCTGTCTTAGACAATGAAGGAAAAAGTGCAGGATTTTTTTCGGAATTTTATTTTTATTATAGACATTTAGTTGATGGATGTTTTAGTGGTAAGACGAAGCAATAGAACGACCTTATCAATGAGAAATAATTTTTTTTTTTCTGAGTCTAATTTTGTTCTCCTAAGGGTAAATTCATTCTTTCCTTTTATCTTTGTAACTCTTCTGATATAGTCTGCGGAATTTCAAAATCCCTTCTTCCTATTTATTACATAAACATAATTCGGTACAGAGTATAAAGTGGTCACGTGAATATTTCAAGATATAAAGTCATATTGCGCATTATGTAACTCGCATTTGTGTGTTTATGCATACACATACATATATACATTGTCTGTCTATATACATTATGTATGTATGTGAAAATGTGAACATATAGATGAGTTTGCAGAGCATGATAAAGGACAGAAAGAAATGATCGATAACATGAAACAAACAGAATCGTGAAAATAAGTTTTATTTTTTAGTAAATAATTTCTGATGCTTTAGCAGACGATCAACAAATAAATACATTTTATAGAAAAATTATATGTCTATCCTTGATAAGGTTGCTGGCAGCAGTAGTACTTGTTGGTATAACTGCTCTTGCACCAGTACTTGCACGTGTTGTATCCGAGCACGGGTCTTTGGTCGTAGAAGCTGTGACCAGGCACAAGACCAGGGTAATGAGCGGTGTTGAAGGATCCGGCGCCGTGGATGCCAGAGCCTACGAGTCCTACGCCATGAACACTACCTCCGTGGACACCCCCGAGGACACCGCTGTGACCACCACCAAGAACACCTCCATGGACGCCTCCGTGGACACCGCCAAGCAGCCCACTGCCGTGGACAACAGGTCTGTGACCACCAATGCCATACGTGCTGTGTCCAGCAACTGCTGCCACGAGACACAGAGCCACGAGGAGGGAGGTTACTGCCACATTACGAGCCATCCTAAGAGAAAGGATAAATCGTTACTTTTATACTGAAAAGGTCTAGATGTTTCCTATATGTCTAGATAATACGTGATACAGAAATCGATATGACATGATATATCAATGGAATAGATAGTGACTTACGTTCACTTCAATTGCTAGCTGCACTCTGAGCATTCGTTGAGAGCGCGTCCTTATATACGTACTCTCACCGGCTGCAAATCTTGTCCAGGGAACTCCAGGCGGGAGGGAGGTGTTGCCAGCGTTCAGATTTTTTTCTTTTATTACCTTCTCATTGGCAATAACAGCTTCTTCTTTAAGTAATTTCTTGCATAAAAGATGGAAAAGACGTTCCTCTAAATCTTTACAAGGAGGTATTTCTGTTTGATAGTCTGTTAGACTCCATGTTATTCGTCACGAAAACTGATTACTGCAATACTAACGGGTCTCAAGTGACGTCATCAAAGCTTCTGAGAAACCAGTCTGGAAAAATTCTGCCGGGCGAATATTTCCTAAATTTTAATATGTTGACAACATACACAACTCACAAGTGACGTCATCAAAATTTATGAGAAACAACGGAGTCTACAAAAATTATGCCAGTTGTTGATCACTGGTTAATCCAGGTATCGATATCACACAGTGAATTATCTATATACCTATTCTTTTTATTTTGCATTTGTAGGGATGAGGGATTCGGTGGTCAGTTTCGATATAGTTCAGTCAAAGATGAAAAGTATATTTCAGTAAGCACCAATAATGTATATATATATATACATATATATGTATATACATGCATATATATGTACATACGCACATACATACATACATACATATATATATACACACACATATACAGAGAGTGAGATATATAGATAGATAAAGAGAGACAAAGAAAGAAAGAGAGGGAGAGATAAAGAAAGAGATAACATTTGGGAGAGTTAAGACTCTAGATTCTTCCTGATATCAGTGCCTGGAAAATTTGTTTCTCGTTTTGGTACATCAGCCAGATGCTCAATGGAAATGAAAGACAGGAGGGAGATGGATGCGGCGGGAAAAGATTGTTTCGTTTTATTGTATCATATAAAGTAGACTATGATTCCAGATCATCTCTAAATTTTCAACTTTCATATGTCAACTAAACAACCGATGCACATACGCACACAAAATATATATAGAAATGCATATATACTTATACATACAAACATAGTGTATAGTATAACATATATACATATATAAACATAATGTACAGTATAACATAGACATATATATACATATACATGCGTGTGTGTCTGTGTGCGTGTATAGTGATAACATCCTGAGGTATGTATTTATTGATATAGATTTGCCATCTGAAATGGATAACTCTGTGTGTATTTACACTATGAGGATAATAACATACATATGTAAGTTTAGCTATACGAACTTTGAATTAAGTACGAAAATATTACAAGCCATGTTGTGAACACAACGTGCCCATTGCTTTAGCTTTGACGTGATGGGAATTAGTAACAGTCTATTTCATTCTGTCAGTTCCAATTTTGTATAGTGTCTGGAGTTACGAATCCGATATTTTGTTAGCCTCGCATTCCGGCAATGGTACGTGAATGGCGTGTCTAGCAATATTGCTAATTTGATTATCAATGTTGATTTGATAACTTTAAAAATGAGCAATATAAAGACATTCGCATGATGAATACCCGGATATAATTATAGAACATTCACTGCTTCGGTGATTATTTATATATCCGATGAAAACATATATGCAAACATACATATATCTGCATATGTACACGTTAATATATGGAAGAGTTTGCAGATTGGTGGAAAAAACGGGAATATGAAAAATGATATTATACAAAAATAAGCTTTATTTTAGAGCAAGAAAATTGTTTTATAGAAGACGATTAACACAAAACCAAAAGAAATAAGAATCAGTGAAGAGTTCTATCCTTGGTAAGGTCGCTGGCAGCAGTAGTACTTGTTGGTATAATTGCTCTTGCACCAGTACTTGCACGTGTTGTATCCGAGCACGGGTCTTTGGTCGTAGAAGCTGTAACCAGGCACAAGACCAGGGTAATGAGCGGTGTTGAAGGATCCGGCGCCGTGGATGCCAGAGCCTACGAATCCTACGCCATGAACACTACCTCCGTGGACACCCCCGAAGACACCGCTGTGAACACCATCAAGAACACCTCCATGGACTCCTCCGTGGATACCACCGAGCACTCCACTACCGTGGACAATATGTCTGTGTCCTCCAATGCCATAGGTACTGTGTCCTGAAACTGCTGCCACGAGACACAGAACCACGAGGAGGGAGGTCACTGTCATGTTACGAGTCATCCTGAGAGAGAGAGAGAAAAAAATACTTTTACAATATAATCTGAAAAGGTCTATATGTTTTCTGTATGTCTAGATTATGTGATATAGAAAGAAATCGATATGACCTGATATATCATTGGAATAGATAGTGACTTACATTTACTTCAATTGCTAGCTGAACTCTGAGCATTCATTGAGAGCGCGTCCTTATATAAGTACTCTCACCTGTTGCGAATCTTGCCCAGGGAAGACCAGGCGGAAGGGAGGTGTTGCCAGCGTTCGGTTTTCTCTTTTTTTTTTACCCTTTCATTGGCAATACCAGTTTCTTCTTTAAGTCAAGTTAAGGTGTTTCTTTTACTCTTTACATTGAAGTATTATCATTTGAAAGTCTGTTATTCGTCACAAAAAATGAATACTGAAATACTAACAAGTCGCAAGTGACGACATCAAAGTTTCTGAGAAACAACGGAGTCTGGAAAAAAATTGCCAGTCGAAAATTTCCTTGATTTTAGTGTGTTGATCACTGGTTAATCCAGGTATTGAAACCACACACAGTACATTACTATTTACTCATTTCTATTTTACATTTGTGGGGATGAGGGATTCGGGGGCCAGATTCGAAATAGTCCAGTCAAAGATGAAAAGTTGACTTCAGTGAGCACCAATAATATATGTATATATATGTACATACACACACATACATACATATATATGTATATATGTACATACATAGAGAAGGAGAGAGAGCAAATGTGAGATAGATAGAGACTACCTGGAAAGTCTGCTTCTCCTTTTGGCACATCAGCCAGATGGTTTTTGAAAATGAAAGAGAGGAGGGAGGTGAATGCAGCTGGAAATGAAATTGTTTTATTTCATTGCGTCGCATCTTATAAGGTTGAAAGTGTATAGACTATGATTTATAGTTTAATTCCAGATCAACTCTCATATGTCAGCTAAACAACTTATATATATGTATATGTATATATCTATACTTATATATACATATATATACATAGTATATATACATATATATATATATAGACATAATGGATACATATGTGTATTTAGGGATGATAGATTTGTCATCTGAAATGGATAACTACACTATGAGAATATTAACATACATATGAAGCTTATCTATACGAAACTTTGTGATGTTGTGAACATAACATGTGCCCATTGCTTTAGCTTGACTTGGAGTGCACTTAGTAATAGTCTAGTACATATTTTGTGAAAACATCTCCATCGACTTGAACTCGTCTAGCTCAGTTCCAATTTTGTATAGTGTCTGGAGTTACGAATCCGATATTTTGTTAGCCTCGCATTCCGGCAATGGTACGTGAATGGCGTGTCTAGCAATATTGCTAATTTGATTATCAATGTTGATTTGATGATTTTAAAAATGAACAAAAGTATATATATATATATATATATATATATATATATATATATATATATATATATATATATATATATATATATATATATATATATATATATATATATATATATATATATATATATATATATATATATATATATATATATATATATATATATATATATATATATATATATATATATATATATATATATATATATATATATATATATATATATATATATATATATATATATATATATATATATATATATATATATATATATATATATATATATATATATATATATATATATATATATATATATATATATATATATATATATATATATATATATATATATATATATATATATATATATATATATATATATATATATATATATATATATATATATATATATATATATATATATATATATATATATATATATATATATATATATATATATATATATATATATATATATATATATATATATATATATATATATATATATATATATATATATATATATATATATATATATATATATATATATATATATATATATATATATATATATATATATATATATATATATATATATATATATATATATATATATATATATATATATATATATATATATATATATATATATATATATATATATATATATATATATATATATATATATATATATATATATATATATATATATATATATATATATATATATATATATATATATATATATATATATATATATATATATATATATATATATATATATATATATATATATATATATATATATATATATATATATATATATATATATATATATATATATATATATATATATATATATATATATATATAACACGAGGAAAATTGCCAGTCGAAAATTTCCTTGATTTTAGTGTGTTGATCACTGGTTAATCCAGGTATTGAAACCACACACAGTACATTACTATTTACTCATTTCTATTTTACATTTGTGGGGATGAGGGATTCGGGGGCCAGATTCGAAATAGTCCAGTCAAAGATGAAAAGTTGACTTCAGTGAGCACCAATAATATATGTATATATATGTACATACACATACATACATACATATATATGTATATATGTACATACATAGAGAAGGAGAGAGAGCAAGTGTGAGATAGATAGAGACTACCTGGAAAGTCTGCTTCTCCTTTTGGCACATCAGCCAGATGGTTTTTGAAAATGAAAGAGAGGAGGGAGGTGAATGCAGCTGGAAATGAAATTGTTTTATTTCATTGCGTCGCATCTTATAAGGTTGAAAGTGTATAGACTATGATTTATAGTTTAATTCCAGATCAACTCTCATATGTCAGCTAAACAACTTATATATATGTATATGTATATATCTATACTTATATATACATATATATACATAGTATATATACATATATTTATATAGACATAATGGATACATATGTGTATTTAGGGATGATAGATTTGTCATCTGAAATGGATAACTACACTATGAGAATATTAACATACATATGAAGCTTATCTATACGAACTTTGTGATGTTGTGAACATAACATGTGCCCATTGCTTTAGCTTTGACTTGATTGCAATTAGTAATAGTCTAGTACATATTTTGTGAAAACATCTCCATCGACTTGAACTCGTCTAGCTCAATTCCAATTTTGTATAAACTGTCTTGAATTCGATATTTCGTTAGCCTAGTATCCCGGTAATGGTACGTGAATGGTATGTCTGTCGGTATATAATTCAATCATCAATGTTGATTTGATGATTTTAAAAATGAACAAAAGTATATATATATATATATATATATATATATTGCATATGTATATATTATGTAGGTACGTATCCTACAAAGATAGGCTATAATTTTAATTTTATGGTACTATATGGTTCAATATCACTGAAGAATTCTGCCCTTGGTAAGGTCGTTGGCAACAGTAGTATTTGCTGGTATAATTACTCTTGCACCAGTACTTGCACTTGTATCCGAGCACGGGTCTTTGGTCGTAGTAGCTGTAACAGTGCACAAGACCAGGGTAATGAGCGGTATTGAAGGATCCAGCACCGTGGATGCCAGAGCCTACGAGTCCTACGCCATGAACACTACCTCCGTGGACACCACCGGGTACTCCATTGCCTGTTTGGTGAATATCATGCAGGTTTCAGGTAAAGTGGACAGTGTTGACAGGAAATGAAAACAGAGAGGGAGAAAGAAAATTATTTTCAATTTCAATATTGAGTATGTATCTTTTTCTGAAAGGGATTTAGTTCTATAGGTAATTCTTTTTTTATCCTTACAACTTCAATTATATGATCTGCAATGTTTCTAGGTATAAATTGGTCTCATGGATACGCATTTATCTTTCTACGTGCATATTCATACATGGGAATAAGTGAATGTTTGAGTTTGCAAAGCATGAAAAGAGGGAGGTGAGAGATGACATCAGACAAACGGAGTTGTGAAAATAAGTTTTATTTATGAGTAAACCATTTATGATGCTATAACAATCAACAGAAAAATACTTTTCATAACAAATTCTGAGTCTATCCTTGATAAGGTCGCTGGCAGCAGTAGTACTTGTTGGTATAATTGCTCTTGCACCAGTACTTGCACGTGTTGTATCCGAGCACGGGTCTTTGGTCGTAGAAGCTGTAACCAGGCACAAGACCAGGGTAATGAGCGGTGTTAAAGGATCCGGCGCCGTGGATGCCAGAGCCTACGAGTCCTGCGCCATGAACACTACCTCCGTGGACACCTCCGAGACCACCACCAAGAACACCTCCATGGACACCCCCGAGGACACCGCTGTGAACACCACCAAGGACACCTCCCTGGACTATATATATATATATATATATATATATATATATATATATATATATATATATATATATATATATATATATATATATATATATATATATATATATATATATATATATATATATATATATATATATATATATATATATATATATATATATATATATATATATATATATATATATATATATATATATATATATATATATATATATATATATATATATATATATATATATATATATATATATATATATATATATATATATATATATATATATATATATATATATATATATATATATATATATATATATATATATATATATATATATATATATATATATATATATATATATATATATATATATATATATATATATATATATATATATATATATATATATATATATATATATATATATATATATATATATATATATATATATATATATATATATATATATATATATATATATATATATATATATATATATATATATATATATATATATATATATATATATATATATATATATATATATATATATATATATATATATATATATATATATATATATATATATATATATATATATATATATATATATATATATATATATATATATATATATATATATATATATATATATATATATATATATATATATATATATATATATATATATATATATATATATATATATATATATATATATATATATATATATATATATATATATATATATATATATATATATATATATATATATATATATATATATATATATATATATATATATATATATATATATATATATATATATATATATATATATATATATATATATATATATATATATATATATATATATATATATATATATATATATATATATATATATATATATATATATATATATATATATATATATATATATATA